TTGTGGGTCACTCTTATGGGACACTCTTGTCGGACATTCTTGTGGGAAACTCTTGTGAGACACTCTTGTAGGACGCTCTTTTGGGTCACTCTTGTGGGACACTCTTGTGGGATACTCTTGTAGGAAACTCTTGTGGGACACTCTTGTAGGGCACTCTTGTGGGACACTCTTATAGGACACTCTTCTGGGACACTCTTGTGGGACACTCTTGTAGGACAATCTTGTAGGACACTCTTGTGGGTCACTCTTGTAGGAAACTCTTGTGGGAAACTCTTACAGGACAGTCTTGCGTAGGACACTCTTGCGGGACACTCTTGTAGGACACTCGTGTGGGTCACTCTTATGGGACGCTCTTGTCAGACACTCTTGTGCGACACTCTTGTGAGACACACTTGTAGGACACTCTTGTCGGTCACTTGCCGGACACTCTTGTGGGACACTCTTGCGGGACACTCTTGTAGGACACTCTTGTAGGATATTCTTGTAGGGCACTGTTGTGGGACACTGTTATAGGACACTCTTGTGGGACACTCTTGTAGGGCACTCTTGTGGGACACTCTTATGGGACACTCTTGTGGGACACTCTTGTGGGACACTCTTGTAGGACAATCTTGTGGGTCACTCTTGTAGGAAACTCTTGTGGGTCACTCTTATGGGACGCTCTTGTCGGACACTCTTGTGGGACACTCTTGTGAGACACACTTGTAGGCCACCCTTGTGGGACTCTCATACGGGACACTCTTGTGGGACACTCTTGTGGAACACTCTTGTAGGAAACTCTTGTGGGATACTCTTGTAGGACACTCTTAAGCAACACTCTTGTCAGACACTCTGGTGGGACACTGTTGCGGGACGCTCTTGTGGGACACTCTTGTGGGACACTCTTGTGGGACACTCTTGTAGGACACTCTTGTGGGACACTCTTGTAGGACACTCTTGTGGGACACTCTTGTGGGACACTCTTATAGGACACTCTTGTGGGACACTATTAACGGACACTTTTGTGAGACACTCTTGTGGGACACTTCTTGCGGGACACTCTTGTGGGACACTCATACGGGACACTCTTGTGGACAGTCTTGTAGGACACACGCTTCGAGCTTGCAAGACGAGCGTTTCGTACGAGACTTCTTCCAAAAGCACACGTCAAGTCTCCAAAACGAGCGTTTCGTACGAGACTCCCTCAAAAACTCACATGTCAAAGTCTGCAAAACAAGCGTTTCGTACGAGACTTCCTCCAAAAGTCAAGCGGAATCACCCATCGGAGCACACACATCACGCAGCCCTGCCAAGCAGTTTCGCGATTCCAGCCCCTCCAAACAACGCCCGCTCACATGCCAATCCCAATGTGACAGCGACGTTCACCTCTATCACAGCTCACAACCTCACGATTCCCTGGGCCTGCCACGAATCTTTCCGTGTCCACGCGCACAAAGTACTGCTCCTGCCACGAAACGTCGCCTCCGTCACACCTCGCAACCTCACGACTCCCTGCGCCTGCCACGAAAATCGCACTTCCATACCTCAAAACCCGCACAAAGCACTGCGCCTGCCACGAAAACTGACAATATCATCTCATGTGAGCTTCAACAAAATTTACACCACACCACACGTTTGGAATGATTTCGACCCGTTCTGAGCACACCCCCATCCACCAAAATCGCCATTTCAGCTGAGACCTGCACTCTGAAATGCAAATCCCAATGGCACGGCCACATCCAACACCCCAAAAACACGACTCTCCACACGCTAATCCCAATGGAACTGCGCAGCAAACTGCGGATCTCACAAAACGCTGCGCCTGCGCAGTGAAATCATCCTCCACACTCCACACTTCAACATCTTACATTTCCACACGATCCCTCGCTACTTCACACGAATCTGACACATCACGTTTTCATCCAAAACCTACTCCAAAAGCTTCCCCCAATGGCAGCGCCTTAGCGCTCTACTGCGAACGGTTGCGGACGGTTGCGAACATAGAAACAACGGGTCGCGAACAAGGCTCTACCCCCAGACCCCCAGAGTTAAACGAGAACCCTTCGCTACGCATTCGGGAAAATATTGAAATGTTCACCGTTTGACACCCGCAAACCTTGGCAATGCCCCTGATTCCTGCTGAATTGAGCTGGGATCAAGCATCAAGTATTTAAAACGCGGTGAATTGAAAAATCTTTGGGTGATCCGCCAGGTTGTATCGTTATTACATTGAAAAGTGTGTCTGCACTCATGTTTTATTGCAATTCTATCAGCCTACGCCAGTCCTTAATGCAGAATGTATTCCATGCTGAGCCATGGCCTCGTACTACTGGCTACTACCGCCACCTGTACCATCGCCACGATCCCTTTCGTCCCGCCAAGCACTCGATTGGTTTATGAGAAATGATATTACTAATTCTTGCTGACTTATGTTCCAGCAGGCTTCAGCCTATGTTAGGACATGTTGTTAAGACATGTTGAGACAATGTTTGGCGGAGAATGGTTGATCAAGTGCAGCTGCTCGAAACCACCTACCCTCACAGGCTTGATGGCCGAGGTCAGAGGAGATTTGGCGATTGCAGGTTGGTGCCCAGTGCAGGTCCTCAGCTCAGCGTGATGTTTTGCCCTAGTGGGTTAGTAATTAGCGAAGATTGAAATTTCAAGGGAGCTTCCACAGAAGAGTTTCTTTGAGCAGGGAGCTCACTTTTTTCCAGTGAGCTGAGTGTACATCTCTTCAGGTGGAATCCACTTTGTCCTGCTCATGTTGAGACGTGGAGAACTCGCATTCCGCATCTTCAGAGGCCTTCCGAGGCGAAGACATGAATGGATTCTTCACGGCTCAAAGCCGGCAAGACTACGATTTCAATAAAGAAAGAAGAAGCGGGTGCCGTCCCTGCACATGCTACATTTGCTTGGTGTGAGGGAGAATTCCAGGGTCAACAACCAGCAACATCAAGCAGAGATACATAGATCGTTTCCGGATCTATATTGATCATAGATTAATCATCCACGATCCATGAACCAAGTTGTGCACAGATTCCCCGGATTCCCCCCTGATTTTTGAAGCTGAAGGCCTGTGGTGCCTTGCCAGGACTTCCCCCTCAAGGCATTCCAGAGCCTTGGCAATTCAAAAAGCTCCCTTCGCTGAGCACTAGAGTTAATGGATAAGTACAGTATTTGGAAATCCTGCAGATCGAAAGTCTCCTCAAGTTGTGCTACAAGAGGAGTAGCTTTTGCACTTCAAGATCCTCAGGTTGATTCCCGCTATTGGTGGATCCCTCCCTGCACAAGTTTCTCCTCCTTGACCAACGGAGCATGGTGTTCGCGCCTGACTACCCCAATTGATCGAATCCAAAGGTGAGGAAATGGTGTGAGTGTGAACAATTGAATTGAACACCTCCCAGTTTGATTGCATGAAGCAGGGTCACAGACTGTAGGTTATGACACTGCATCACCTGGAAGACTTAATGAAGACGACTTGTGCGCATGCTTGCTGGACGAGGTGCGGGACTCACTCCCATGGCGTACCACGGCATACTGTACTGTGCTGTATTTATTTAGATGCAATTGCAAAAAGGATGGTAGCTGTTCTTGTTCATTTTTCATGGGATGCGGCATATGTCATTCTTGGTGAGTGTTGTGTTCTCAAAATCAGAAGTTTGATACGTTCTTTGGCTTGGAGCTACGCAAAACGACACAGGACTGTTTGTGCGGAAGTAAACGTTGCGGCATTTCGTGGAATTTATTTTGCCTGCATTTCAATACAGCGAACTTTGATCGAGCCACATTTGCCAGACGAGCAAGTACAGGTGACCCGTGTGAGCAAATGCAGGAGACCATGGAGTCCTTTGGAAATTGGGCCCTCACAATTCAAGGCTGCAGCAACCTGGCAGAGCTGACAGAGCATGAGGTTTGTTTGAATCTGTTTCCTCGTGTTAAATCAACAAAGCCCTTTTTGTTTCAGACTTTGAGCACAGGAAACCCCAGCTTGTTGTGGCGCTTGCAACGTTTAATGTCATGACGTATACGTAAGGTCCCACAGCAGCAAGCAAGATACAGCCTTCAGGACAGCGGGCTTTGCAAGGTGTCACCCAGCATTTACTGTCGTTCAGCCGCTCATATTTGTCGGCCTATCATCTACTCTTCAGACGAAAGACAAAGGGTGATATATACTGGTAGGACATGCAGATTTGTTCACTTCCAGTTGTAGTACGGCCCTTGCGAGGTATGCTCTTGCGCATCTAGGCATTCAATGGATTTGAGGAATGTGTTTGGCAAGCTAGATCCAGGATTGACTACTATGCATTTGGGTGGCATGAAAGGTGTGCCACATCCTTACTGCCAAATATATTCAAAAGCGTGTTTTGATTGCAGAATACAGAGTGGATCGCAACATTTTGCAAGTTGACATGATACTGGCAAAAAGCAACTGTTGTGCTGGTAAAGCCGTTGCAATTGCGTTGTTTCCAAGTCTTCAAGTCAGAGAGCTTTGAGGTTGCTGTCATGATACTCTTACTGAGGCCACTGTCATTCCTTCCACCAGACCAGCCACCAATTTTAAATTGAGAGGTTTCTATGGGTGGTCTATTGAGAAGCCAATTCCAGAGACTAGATCGAAGGATGTGCAAGTCGTTCTGTGAAAGCGCATATATGATACATGAGCATGGGAGTTTATCGGGCACCTCAGCCATGTGTCTTGGCCAAGGTTTCTTTTCCATGGATCTGACTCCCGGGAAACTTGCGTGCGGTCTATCAGGGAGTACTTCCCACTCTGCCAAAGGGATGGCACGTTGGAGCTGTGACCACCCTCGCGAAACGCAAGACAAGACCTGGCTAGATGGCGGAGTTGATGTCCTTGGTCAAGCAAGACGGGGTACGCGGACTGAACAAATAGAGTGTGCGCGCGTGCGAAGCTGTAGACTGTATATTTGGTTTGTCTGAAGGGTTCACTCTTTCTCTAGAAACTATGAATCCATCAGACTGTCCAGCGTGTCCGGCAATCTTGTAGGCAGCTCCGCACAGCGACATGGAAGCAGCCAAGTCCAAGGACTGATGTACGACAACCCAGGAAAGCCTGATGCCACTGATAACTTGGGTATATAACCAGAACGATTAAAAGTATTGTGTATAATCTCACAGATATACAAAAAGATGCAAAGAGATCACTGTGTGCAAAAAATAATACCAGCATAGACACCAAACAGTTTCAAAATGATTTGTTTGGACCAATGTTAGTCAAAAACGATTTCTTGGTATGCCTTACCTTTCCCCGCAACAGCAAACTGCTTCATCAATGATGTTGTCGGCATCGACATCGCTATTTGTTCGGCCACACTCCTCTCCAGCTGTTGACCATATTCATGGAAAAATTGACAATGTCCAATGCGCCCCATCTATCGACATATAACGTCACTCAGCACTCTAAACCATCGGCCACAGAGTTCAGGGGTGCGGCCAGTCCCGGTCACAGAGTTCAGGGGTGCGGCCAGTCAGTGCGGCCAGGGCTGGTCAGCGCGGCCAGACGACAACAGCAGGACAAGAGAAGGACAAGAGGAGGACAATAGCAGGGGAAATATCAGGGCGTTGCTTTGCTGGAAGATCTGAGACTCACTGGCACAGTCCTTCTTCCCTAAAAAGGCGCATCAAGTCTCATCAAGTGTGTTTGCAAAATATTCTGGGTCATGCGGGAGCACAAAGAAGGAAGCAACAAAGAAAGAGAAAAGTGAAAGAGAAAGAGGGACGAAAACAATGCCTCGACAGGAAGAGATGAGTGTGGACTTCAACTTCTTCAGCCAGCTCCCGACCCCTGTGCAACCGGCCTTGCGGGTGCCTGGGCAAAGCCCAGGAAGAGGTGTCAGTAAGTGGGGCAAGTCTCCGGTCAAGTCCGTTTTTAAGGTAGATAATAATTCATGCAGATACAACAGTTTGCTGAATCCTGTGTTGCAAAATCACTTTAAGATGCGATGTTCCAGCAGGAAGTAGAATCTCCCTGATTTGCGATATCAGAAGGAGGAAGGAGTCCATTCTACCGGGTTCCCGGTAGGTCAAGTTTTGTGGTTCAGCATGTTTGGATCTGTAAAACACTCACTTAATTTGCTATGTGGTGGCTTTGATTTTTGCCCGTTGGTGTTGATGCCCGCCTGACCTCACGCTGCAGACGTCCGCCATGGTTCTGGGCATTTTTGATGGTCATGAGGCAGGCGTGGTGGCCGTGGAGGCCAGGGTTGAGAGTTTGGCACCGAAATGTAGCATGGATGGACGTGACATTATGTGATTATGTTGCGTTGTTCGAACAAGGCAGAACCATGTCCACTTTTCTTGGCAAGTTGGCAAGTGCTGAGAATCCAAAGTCTTGTTTCAACGTTTCATTGTCAATAGGTATGTGCTTCCAGCATGGGCAATTCGGGGACCGCGTTCTCTCAGGCAGGAGAAAGCACAAAAAGAAGACGGATGATAAAAGAATTGTGCGTGAAAAACACGAGGACACCATTCAGTGTTGTTTGGGGATTCGATGTAAAAACTTCCACAAAAACAATTTTGAAAGCCTGAATCAAAGCTTTGAAGTGAAATGCAAGCATCATTGCCAATCCAGAATGCTTGCAGGTAGAGGCCGATGGAACTTTCTGCATTTTTGTAGCAGCAAAGGCTACCTTTGAGCTGTGGTTCACAGTAGCAGCCCAAACCTCAGCAAGTTCACACATACAAATGGATTTTTCTATGCCTGACAAAGTTCAGTGCAGTTTTTGCAAGGACACCGTCTCTTCGCCACTTCGATTTGGCTATCTCCCCAGATGATTTGTTGGACTTTGCCGGGATTTGGCAAATCTGCACGGTTTTTTCATGTTTTTTTTCATTATCATATGTCATATGATCAAGAATAGAGTGTGCTTGGCTTGGCAGTGATGGTTGCATGGCGTCATGACGCATGCTTGAGTTTGAGGGTATTTTGTCCTGCTTTTTTGACAACTGCTTGGCCACCAACGCCCTGCTGAAGGATCCTCCTGAAGGACCTGGAACACTTTCATGCAAGTCACAATACAGTGGACAACTCCAAATGGCTTTGAAGCATTCCAGACAGGCTTCTCCACAGAACTGTGGGGAGTGAGCGGTCGTTCGTCTGAGGCCCTTTTTTGGCGCGTAGCTGCGACGAGGTTTCGCAGTGAAATTGCCCGTTGATTGTGGACTAAAATCATCATCCAAGTACGAAGTTGTCAACCGAATTCCGCTTTCGGTCCGTTTCAATGTCATAAATCAGAGAAGCCATGAGAAGGACCAAGAAGTGTTTGCCAGGTCACACACTTGGGTACCTTGCGCGCAAGCTACTCCACAAAGCCGGGTGAGTGGCGAAAACCTGCCAGGAGCTTGGGAGTAGATCTTCCAACAGTCTTCCATCACGGGAATGACAGTCTCGCCTAAGCAAAGATACAGCCTTCCTGTCCAGGCTCTCACAGCCCTGGCTAGGAACTTTGTCCTTTGACAGAAACCTCGGTCAGTGAATATCCTCTTGGTCTTCACTCGCTGAAAAACGGGTTTCCATTTCGATCATAGGCAACCATAGACAACCTGCACAGAGCGATCCAGACCTCGCTTCACTGATCAACTGCAAGGGGTCAAGTTTATCATGTTGAGAAAGGAAAGATCGAAATTTCGACGTCCAAATTTCCTGTAGGACTGTATACAGATCTATATAACTAGAAGCTACTAGGTGGAGGCCATCGCTACTAGTAACAATAAAGCTTTCTAGTAACAATGAACTTTCTTAAAATCAAACATGGAGGAAAACCGTGACAAGCCTGTTTTGAGGTTGCGCCCGCTGGGGCATTCATCATGTCTCTTTGTCCTGTTTGCTTCAGCTTGCGGGACGTTCCGAAGTTCTTGCGTCGTGATGTGTTCATTTTGAGGGTTTTGAGCAAGAAGGAGAATAAGTCTGTAAGGGAGCCCTGATGTCCTTGATTATAGTACTGTACACAATAGCAGGAAAGAAAAGTGCTGAATATGATCATTGCAGATTGGCTTGACGATACACATGTGGTTATGAGGTCTTGGCATAGTTTGAGCCACAGTATGCTGTTGATAGGCTTCCTCGCGTGGAGATCGGGGGGCACGACCCATGAAAGATGTAGCTGCAACGTGGTAGTCTCAGAAAATGCATAAAGCCTCCCCACAAGCGCAAGGCTGGAGTTTCATGGGGGGAGCAAAGGGAAAGTCGTTCAGGAAAGCAAACATGCAAGATATTGTACCCATAGTCGTCAAGGCTGTTTGTGGATGTGTAGCAAAGCTCTTGGGTGTTTCAGCATGTAAAAAAAGAAATCGTGAAAACGACCTGGAAGCTCCTGAGGCGCAAGCCTTCCTTGAGGCTGGTGCCATAGGAGAAACATGCAAGTGTCTCCTGCACACATCAAGTAGAAATCACTTGCCATAGCCTGAACTTCTGCCATAGAACGTCAAGGTTTTTCAATTTGAATATGGGTTGTGGGTAGTGCTGTGGAAGGGCTTAGGGGGCAACACAGAGTACAGGTTTGTCAAACGGTCAGAGACATGATGTAGCTTGTACCACGTGGTGGGGTGTGTGGTGTACATTGGTGTGCCTTTGCATGATGCGGCATGGGTTGGCAGGCTTGAGCTCTCAGATAATCTCAGACACCTTTTTGATCTTTTAGCTGGCTTTGTGCGTGCAGGGTACTGAAACCAGCACGGACGAGCTCAGCAAGGCAAGTTCTTCGAATTGCATCAGGAATCATCAGGATGGATGACATGAAGTGGATTGTTTTTGTATTGCTTTAGTTCAGGTCAAGTTTGTTCCGCGTGTGATTAGTGAGATTGACGTGGATCAAACTGGTAAGTGAGAAAGAGCCAAACGAACTTGCCGCATTTTGACATTTGTGCAGGAATTGTCAAAAGGAGAGCTGTCAAAGGAGCTCTCACGGCAAGAGGTAAGCACAGAGACCTGAGTGTCTTGGAGGTTAAGGACAGCCTCTGACGTGGTTTGGGCCCGTGTGTCCATTTCAGATTGAATGTTTTGTTGCTCTTGCTACTTGTACAGAAAGTCTTCGAATTAAATAACCGATGTGTCCAAGCCAACCTGTGTTTGTTCCTGTGAGGAAAGCAAGAAAGCGATGATCTGTCGACTGCAGATTCCATAATCATATGATCCCATTATTGTTTGCAAAAAGAGAACACAACATGCAATCACACGAAACTATGGTTGTGCTTTTGTGAGCTAGTTTTTTCTGCCCAAGAAGGGTAGATTCTAGGTCGATCCGTGTTGAGTGATGCCAAGTAGGGAAGTATATAATGTATATAGACCTTGTCAGTTCATTTGAAGTACTGTGACTAAGTCTACTAAGTGTTCGCAACAAGCCACTTCCACTCTTGGCATCGCTCACGGGCGAAAATCCCTACTACTCGCTGAGGAGTTCATACTCAACTCGAAACGAGTGGAAAAAGAATACTCGGACAACTACTCAGACCATCCAATGCTTCGATGGCTCGAGAATCGACTTGAAAATACGATGGCTTCGATGGAGGGCCCGAAGACTGGCCAGATGGAGGACTGTGCACCACTTGTCGATTCTACCAATAGTGATGGGTTGAGAGAGAATAAAGCTATAGATTGGTCTTGGACCCCGAGACTCAGTATCGCAAGTCTGCTCAAGCACATTCAAGCACAATGTTTGACAAGATATGCTTTGATTCCCTGGATGTCATTTTGTTGATAGATTGACACTGAATGCAGGTTGTTCCAGGTTTCCATGATTGATGCGTAGCTGCGCAGTCTCAATGAAAAGAACATGCAGTCAACAACCCACTTGGTCCTCCATGAGTTTTTGTTTGCTACAGGTCCTTTAGCGAAAGAGGGAGAGAGGAAGCCATCAGAACGGGAAGACTGTGGCGCTAGCCAAACACCAACTCCCTGGTAAGCAGCCTTGTCAATCTCAGTTCGAGCAGTGCCAGATTCATGAAATTCATGAAGTACATGTCACACATCTACTGTCTCACCCAATGCAATGAACCCTCCTGGTGTAAGCTGACACCAAGAGTTGCTGGGTACAGAGCTCTTCCAGGTGCCAAGTGCCACAGGGGTCCCTTGGGACTACAGTGCAGCTTCTCCTACTGTCTAGGCTTAGCAATGCCTTGCAAGATTACCAACCCGTTTCGAAGGCACCAACGTGGCATTGGCATGCAATCATATGCTTAGCATTGCTTAGCAGCAATGTTCTTATGAATCCTATGAATGCATGGTTGTATAAGTGACTGGTGTGGTCAGAATAAAATTCTGATGGATGCTGAGTAGATTCCGTTTTTCAGATGCTGCAGGCGGTGATGGTGGAAGTCGTACAGGCAGGCTTCTAGAGTTGGTATGGACATGATGCGCTCCCTGTTGCGACTTGTTGCTGTTTCAACACTTCGAGGTAGCCCAATTGCTTTTGATCATCTCCTCAGAAGTTATTTTGTCAGGATTTAAACTAAGCCGAGATGCCTTGTGTTATATGTTGATCTTCTCAAGCAAACAATGGAATCCTCCAGGATTTGTTGGACTATGTCACCTATGCCGGTGGTGTGGGAAGACGAAGGGCTGATGCCGTCATTGGTCTTGGCATGCCTGCCATGTTCCTCACCAATCGGCCCTGAAGTTGGTATATCATGAAATGAAAAGCTGGCTTAGTATTGAAGCCCTTTGGCATCCTTTGAAATTTGGCATTCATGATGACTCCACTCCCGCCATCTCGCTATTGGCTTTCAGAAAACTCCCAGAATCATGGGCCATTCGAAGATTTTGCAGCACCATGTAGCACCGCCACTTGGTCAAAGTGACTAAAACAGAGTGAATTAAAGAAAAAACCAAGCCTGCACATGTACAACATTGGCAGTCGCAAGAAAGCACAGATCTCAATGGCGGCTGTTCATAAGCGTTGTTTGCTGGCTTTGGTGAAGCTTGCACTGTGAGTACTGAAGAGTGACGGGACAGTCGTACATACAACGATGTCGAAGCGACCAAGTGTTGAAGGTGAGCTTGACCTATGCCAATGCCTGTTGATGTGTGTTGACTTTCTGTTAGAGCAAACAATGCTTGACATGTAGTGTGCAGCTGCAAGCAATGCTGAAGCTTGCTACCAAAGCGAATGTATGCTACTTCACTATACTCATTTGATTGATGTTTGTCAGGAAAGGCCACCCTGGCAATGAGCACATCTCCATCGATTCAGGAATCAGACACGATCGAGGCAAACTACTTGCAGGAGACGTGCTTACCTGATCCATATACAAGAGCTACTGTTGAAGTTGCCAAACAAGTCAGGATTCCTTTGAGATACCCACCTTGCATGCAGGAGATCGCTTTGCTGCGCTGGAGACTAAGTGCTTTGGAAGTCCTTGCCCGAATCAACAATAAGCCGAAACTAGCCTTTGTGGAGGTATGCTCAGCATGCTACATTGAAGTATATTTTTCACAAGATTTACCAGGGTCTTACAACCTGTTGGGGTCAAGAGAATAGGTAGTCGCTGAAGTCGAATGCGCAAAGCTCGAAGTTGGTGGAGTCATTGAGGCTCCAAGCTGGAGAAGGTGCAATGACTTTTGTGAAACTGTTGACATCTTTTTGCACGCAAGAAGACACTTGACACTGGGAGTACAATCGCTGAATCAATCAGTTCCCGGACTGCATCACCGCCACCTCTACCAGCGATGTGTGGCTGTTGGTGTCCATGCCCGGCTTTCAGACACCGTGAAGGCTCGCTCCTCGGCCCGAACCTGGGCAGCTGTGGGGAGCTCAATGATGTGAACAGTCAAGGAGTGTCACTGTGCAGATCAGATGCAAAAGTTCCTGAATCCTCAGAAATGACTTATTGCCTGGTAGCAGCCAAGTATGTTTTTGCGACCAAGGCCAGTTTCATGGGTGGCTTTTTAGTTTGTTGGCAGCAGACCCGGTTTTGCAGTCACGGTTTCTGCTCCAGACTTTAACCAACCTACTTGGCAAAGCATCAGCCAGCTTCAAAGGTCGAAATTGTGTCCCGATGGCTCTGTTTGCCTTCATTGCTCTTGTTACTACTAGTAAGGCACCTGTTACTAGTAGCGTGGCACTTGCTACTACTAGCGAACCTTGTTACTACTAGTAAGGCACTTGTTGCTAGAAGCGATGCACTTGTTCCTAGTAGCTTCCTCACGCTCCCAAAAGCGCAGCTTGACTCAGGTTGCTCTTGTCAATGTGTTCCCGCCCAGCTGCTAGTTGAGCGCGCTCGGGAAAAAGTTGGCAGAAGAACTCCATTGGCATGTTCAATGCCAGCATGAAATTGACAGCAGGTACAGTATTTGCCTTGTTGTCCAAGGCAGGTCCAGGTACAAAGTTCTTTTCCAACGAGGAAATGACCACTTGGACCACTTGGATCTTTGGCAGCTCTGGTTTCATGTATATAAAAGTTAAACCATTAAAATGCACTAGCGGACGTGGGACCACTATAGACACGCTGTACGTCAACGCTTCCGCTTGACTGCATGCTCCAGATGTTGCCGCCAGGCTCTGGGACTGTAAAACCTGGTGCCCATGACTGTGCCACTTGCACAGATTCATTGAGTATGCTGGCCAATTGGCTTTCAGCTGTGTAGATCATCACAGTGTGATGAACAGCTGTGCTCCCAAGGGCTGTTTCCGTCATTTGTGTCTATTCCATACAAATCTGCCAACGATATGAAACGAAGCTGTCAGCTGTAAGACCAAGAAGTTTTGCTGTGAGTCATCTCCGAGGCGCTAGTGGCCAAGGTGGGAAAGCTTTGGCCATACTGAGCACGACCTTAGTGTAATTGGTTTGTTTGCGGCAAAATACGTGCATCGGGAGGCTGCACAGACTGAATCAGTTTTTGCTTTGAAAGTCTTCGTTGAGCTGCGTCCTAGTGTTGGACCCAACACTTTGCAGGATCGAACTGATCATGCACCTCAAATGGTACCTTTGAGGGACTGCCAGTGTTGGTTTTTGATAGTTCCAGCGCTTTGAAGTCGTGAAGATTGATTGATTGTTCAGGGGACCTCAGCCCCCGGCTCATCTTTGTTCAAGACTGCCAAGAATGATAGCAAGTCGATGGAACATCTGAGGGATTCAGAAAAATGCAGACAGTCATCCCCTATGCTTCCGCTTGTTTGATGCAGGACCTAGTCTTCGACGAGGTGCTTGACAAGCAGTTCGATGATAAGGTCTGCAACCAGATTTGAGAGATTGAGGGAAGTGAGGTGATGACATCACGTGAAGAAAGAATTTGACCTGTTCGAATCAATTTGAGCAGAAGCACTTTTCGGTTTTGCTTCAGACTTCCGATAAATAGTTTCGATTTGCACGATCGACGGAGGTTTACGGTCTTCAAATGCTAGAGCTTTCATACCGCGGAGAGCGCCTGATGAATGAATTGGTCTGGCCCTTTGTCCTCAGCATTGAACTCCTGTTTGCCCAAAGATTTGGAATTTGTTGTTGGGAACTCAAAACCACCCAGCAAACAAACATGCAGGAGAAGAATTATCAAAGTGTTTACAGCGTGAGGGATGCTCCAGCTTTGCCGAAACCATGTTTGCAGTTGAGCTCTTGTGATCCCAGAAAATGGCCTGTCGAAAGGCTCAGAAGTTCCACCAGGCACTGTGTTCGGGTTTGAGTTGCTCAAAACCAAGCCTTGCTCTTGACAGCTGCATTCAGCTTTTGTGGCTCTACGGCTTTGGGGGATCAAAATGAAGTGATGCATGAGCCTTTGAAAGATGCCATTGTGGATCACATGCTTGGTGGAACCAAATGTTCTTCACACTGTGGAAGGTCAACCGCTTGGTGGAACACGACCCTTTGTGGAGGAGCAAGTTGGTACCCCAAGCACTGTAGTGTGCTGAATGTCGTTGACTGTGGAGCATTGCAGTTGTGAGGGAAGTTCAAAGAGTTTCATCTTGGCGAGAGTTGTTGATTAGATGCATTGCTTGAATGCGCACATACACACACACACCTCAATTTTGTGACTGCACTGCTCTTCCAAAGAAGTTAAGTTTTCTAGTCACGAGATTAGCCTTGTTCAAAACTAGTTCTCATTATTAGGCTTCAAGAGACACTGCGTTTGGAACGCCCTGGAAGATATTCAGCAAGAGTCATTTTGGTCAAAGCAGATCATTTGTGCCTGAGCTCGTCACTTCCTCTTTGCAACAAGGCACTTGCCAAGCCTTTTGCAGAAAATGTGCGAAGGTCTTAGACACGCCGGATGCTCAAGAATGGCAACTTGACACATGTTACATGTTTGATTTGAAAAAACTTGGTTATATAGACAATTGAAACCTTCGCTGCTTCAGGTGCAACTTTTGATCTCCAAAGAACTGCAGGAGGTCCGGGATTTACAGTAGATAGGATCATGGCACAAAACCCATGCATGTCGGATGAGGTTCACATACGTTGATGTGAAATCAGTTCATCTTCAATGTATGTTTTGGAGCAAACTGAATAGACAGAGCGTTGACACCCACAAACAAATCGTACCGTGCCCATTGGACATTGTACTGGTTTCTGCTTATGTTCAAAATGATTGTCAGCACTCAATGTGGTTCTTGCAAAAGAAGGCTGGGTAAGTCACAGACATGTTTTGCGAGAAGCAAACTGTCAAGTATCCGATCCACGCATTTGTTTGCTTGAAGTGAATTGTGGTTGTACAGTTGCATGCAACTGCCCCTGCAGGTTTGGAAAATTGCGCGCGACACCTAAAGGGTTGCTCTTCTTCACAAAACTCAGCGCCCGAGTTGTTTGACCGTATTCAACGCGTGGTCATAGGAAGGTTTGTTGGAGCAGACAGCAGAAGTTGGTCTTATATTTCATGATTTCATGCATCCCGATAGGCAGAGAATATTGAAACCCCGAGACTTTTGGAGCTGTTGTCCTTCTTCAAAAGCCGCTCTTGGCCCGAGGTTTCCCCCGATCTTCTACCCGTCAGATACCGACATTTTACCAGACGCCTGAGCCTCATGGATTCAATGCGTGGCTTGTCAGCCGTAGGGCTCTCCAAAATCATTATTCCAGTACATTGTACATTCCTTCTGTGAGACAGTGTCACCGGTACCCCTCAAGTAGTCTGAGTATTATGGAAAGTAGCGACCTTGTCCATTGACTGTGACAACCACATGTCATTTGCAACTCCACCAGACTCTTGTTGCCTTGCTCTAGGTTGGATATCCTTAGAATTGGTGCGTTGGACCAAAGGACACGTGTTATACTCTTTTTCCAGGCGTTGCCTGGTGGCTGGTTGGTGGCTAAGAACAGATTTGCAGAGCACAGTTGGTACTCAGTGCAAGACCGCATCACTATGTTGATTCCGTTGAATCGGTGGGGTACTGGGGGTACTCGGGTTATTCGGTACACCGATTCTTTGAGGTTGGATTTGGAGGACCTCTTCTTGACAGTGCATCTCTTGTTGAGGTGTCCTCACATGAGTGGAAGCATTCAGGAATACCGCTGAACAGGAATATCATGTGTTCTTATGTTTTTTTTGTAGAATGAACCGCTCCAGGTACCTCTCCGAGATGATGAACCTCGCAGGCGTCAAGCTCTCAGTGAGTTGGCCTTACACAGCTCAGATCGTTTGGCCGCTGTTCCAAACGATTCGCTCTTCCAGCATGCAACCCAAGCCCAAAGGTGCTCAAGCAAAGTTGCTGCTACATAGTTGTTTTATAGTAGCTATGTATATATACATATTTATATTGTATAGAGTAAAAAGGATTCGGATGATTATTTCAGAGTTTTACTCGAAAAGACGGGACACAAGCAAAGAAAATGATAAAAGAATGTAATCGGGCTGCCACCCGTTCTAGAAAACACGATGAAATATGTGGGAACATCCCACCTTTCATTGTTCCACTTTAAACATATCTTTTTTGGATTCAGAAATGGTTGTACCTTGTGATTGGCCTTTGACTTGGATGTTTCGTGAGTACATTGAGAACTATCTTGTACATACCTGGCTATCTCACAGAAACCCTCCGAAACATGACCACACCATCTATTTCCAGGCGAAAAAATCCACCACCTAGAGCAAGCCGGTGCTTATACCTGGCTATACATGGACATGGAATGGACAAACCCGATCCCATGTGCCTATACCTGCCCATCTCAAAGAAACCCTTTCGAAGCGAAAGAATCGACCACCGAAAGCCGGAATCGATGCAATCTCGCGAATGCTTGCTCTTTGGCACCTATCTGACGGCAGATATACTTATCAGATATGATCAGAATCACGATATTATATTCGGTTCACTTCAGTCTCCACTGTGCCACCCCATCTTAGGATTTGGTCAGGGAAGTGCCAGGAGCACGCACCATGTCGAGACGGCAAATTAGGCGAGGGTGTCACTCACGGCCCACGCCCGGTCGGCTACCAGTAAGGGAAGTTAGGGCCCGTCATTTCTACTGGTGAGCCCAAGGATTTCCAGCAAAAAGAATCCCATCTGGGCGTTTGCTTCGTTGTGTTTGTATTTAACTTCGGACATAAACCCCTGGAGACACACTGGATTCCTGGATTAACAACTTGGTGCTGCCGGTTCCCAATCACAAGTTGCCGTGGGCCAACACTGCAGAGTTGGCTTGCACCCTCCCACCGCCGCTGGTCCACGGTTGTTGGTTTGGATGTCAAGGATGTTCACATTGAGACGAAAATGATGTTGTACTCCTCGTTGCAATGCAGCGTTTTGCACCATCCATCCGCCACACACGAAGCTACTGCAAAAACGGTGGAACAATTTTATACCGTAATGTTATTCGGTTGTCTATCCAGACTCTTCCTATCCATCAGGAGTGGTGCGTTCATTAGCAGACATTAAGAGGCTAAAATGTGCTACTTGCAATTTGCAATTACGACTGTTTTTCATTCAGCACCCGGCTCGGTATTTTTACCGCAGGCATTTTGCAAAGAAGTGGGAAAATGCCATGACCAAGCCATGGCCATTCCACGAGTTGGCAGCACTGCAGATGCTTATGCAACGTACTACCACTGCAGGCACGCTTTCCAAAGCCCAAATTGAATTTGCCTGCACTCCTTGCCCCGTTTGTAGGCCTTTATGCACAGTGCAAAATTATGCAATTGTTGTTTTGTTGTATACGTGTGTGTGTGTGTGCCCCTTGTAGTCACAGGGATTCTTTTGAATTGTACACTGAGCTTTCTTCATTTAGAGCTGGGGGACACGGCACCAGATTGCAGACCGTGTCTAACAAAGCTATGCAATCTGGTGGGATATCCAGCTTGGCCAGCTGGACGTACCTGCAACAACTTTAAGATTTGTAAAGGGCTAATGCACTCGGCAGACAAGATCGTACGTCGTCCTCCTGTCGAGTTTGACTTCTGGCCTTTAACTAAAGGCGCGCAGCCCCCCCTCACCTGGCTTTTCAGGATGGCGAGTGGCACCGCTTTCAGTTCAGTGCACCCTGTTCTAAGTGTGTCTGGCCTCGGCCAGCCCGGGATGAGCCCGAAGAGTGCCTCCCGTGGACCCGTCGAACGGGGGCTTGTCCTTATCTCCCCTGCCCGGAGATGTACGTGCCCAGAGCGGGCGAAGTAGGCTTCGGCCAAAGTTATTTGCCAAGACTTGCTGAATGACTGAATTCCAAGATGGCTCATGCCTTCACGTGACCGCAGCGGTCAGAGCAGCCAGCCATTTTGGCAAGGCACAAGGTGACCATAGCGGTCAAAGCAAGTTTAGGGTTCATTAGAACCTGTTTCATGTCCTCCTGTCTTCACGTTTCGTCATCTCATCCTTTCCTTTGTTTGCGCGCACATCGGTCCTGGCCTTAGCATGTACGTGCACATCTACAACCCAGTTTTTAGGTCACCCAGGTCTCGACAATGAGGTGAGGCTCATCGGTTGTCCCTGTGCACTTGGTTTCTCTTTCATCGCAACCACGCACACTTTTGTCCTGTCTCGTCCTCCTTCTCATGTCTTCATCCTTTTTGTCTTTCCTGCGCGCACATTTGCACATTCGTCCTAGCCTTAATTTTTGCCTCCCCTCGGGGAGGCGTGTGTGTGTGTGCCCCTTGTAGTCACAGGGATTCTTTTGAATTGTACACTGAGCTTTCTTCAGTTAGAGCAGGGGGACACGGTACCAGATTGCAGACCGTGTCTAACAAAGCTATGCAGTCTGGTGGGATATCCAGCTTGGCCAGCTGGACGTACCTGCAACAATTTTAAGATTTGTAAAGGGCTAATGCACTCGGCAGACAAGAGCGTACGTCGTCCTCCTGTCGGCTCGTCGCATCGTGGAGTTTGACTTCTGGCCTTTAACTAAAGGCGCGCAGCCCCCCCTCACCTGTTTTTTCAGGATTTGGTTTCTTAGGCTGGCGAGTGGCACCGCTTTCAGTTCAGTACACCCTATCCTAAGTGTGTGTGCGTGTGTGCTCCTCAAAGCTTTGTCCCAGATCTGATGTGAAGGTTGACGGAGGTCACCAGCCGCCACCTGAGCCAAAGTTTTCCCCGCCTTACTTCTGCGCAAGCATCCCTACGACGTGGTGGAAAGGAGGAGCTTCCGGCACCAATCACGCGGCGCTTGTCAGAAGAAAAGACACAAGAGCGACTTGCAAGTTGAATTGAGCTGTCATTTTCTTAGTTCCGAGATGTGTTTCCCACATGTTGCATCAAGTTTGTACTTCCATTGTGCACAGCAATGGGTGCTATTTCTTACCCTGAGATTGAGCCAAAAGACAACACAATTGATACTCGGTTCAATACATCTAGGCGAGAGTTTATCGTGCGAACGAAGTGAGATAAGGGGTTGTAGGGGCGGAGAGGCACAAAGGGCAACGAGCGGGCCAAATAGCATGGGAAAACCGGGTGGGGGAGAGTGAGAGAACCGCAACAGAAAACTGTTTACGGAAAGATCAGAGATAGAGGGATGAAGTAGACGTGGAAAGATGGATGTGTGTAGAGTTTGGATAGGTCATGGATGGCTAGTTGAAGGAATGGGTGGTTGGTTGGTTGAATGGATGAATGGATGGATGGACAGAAAGAGGAAGCTGTGTCCGATAGATGGTGAGAGAGAGATATTTCGAGAGATTGGGAGATAGACAGAGAGATAGAGAAGTTACTATAAGAAGGATGGGTGGGTGGGTGGGTGGATGGACGGACGGACGGATGGACGGACGGACGGATGGATGGATGGATAGAAGGGGAGAGAGTGTGAGAGAGGTTGCGCGACAGAAAGATCAGCTAAAAAGATAGAATATGAATGAATATGACATGTATATAGATGTTTGGGTCTGTCCTATTAACTTTAACAGTTGGTAATTCATTTATCATCATTTATCACTAGTTTAGAAAAAAAAAATTGCTAACCAGCAGCATCCATCCACTGTTACTGGTAAAAGGAAAGCGCCAATGTAGATGTATGATGATGTATGTAGAGCGTGAGTAGGTGAATGAATCACTGTTTTGACGAAAAGGTGAGTGGATGAATCAAGAGGAGAGAGTGCCGGAGAGTAAATGTGGATACTTGGATGTGTGTAGAGCGCGCCCAAGGCCAATGGATGGCAAGTGTGGGATGAATGGGTGGGGGGACAGGTGGATGGATAAAGGCAGAGAGACATGGCGGGAGTAGCGAGATCGAGAGATGGAAAGCTTGAGAACATGTGGAAGCCACTCTAGAGACTCTAGAGGCGGCTTCTTGAGTTGTTTTATGTTTTTGGCGGGCCTGATAGCAAAATGAAAGAGTGCCTGTTTGGCGACATCAAGAGATGGAGAGCTACAGAATGGCGCTTGCTGGCTCTGGTTTTTAGCCTCCTTCCTTCTCAGGTCCCCTGTTCCAAGGAAAGATGTATACAAATCGTCATACTGGGCCCATGATCCTGTTAAGTTGCTGAGCAACAGCATATTCAAGAAGATCCCTTTTGCATCCTTTCCTTTGCCAGGTTCAGTAAGAAGAAGTTCTTGCACTCTTTCTCCACCGTGCAGGAAAACTCTGTGAACCATTGGCAGGGCAATGATGACAGCGGAAATATGCTAGCTTCAAAGCTCAAAGGCCGACTGATCAACAAGCTCGGGAAAGCAAGGGCCGCAAAGATGAAAGGAGATGCCAGTTTTGCACAGGGTGGTGGGTCAGCAGAAGGAATGTGCTCCTGAGAAGGATATGGACTAGAGATAAATAGAGAAAAGACTAGAGGGGTTTTGACCCACCACCAATCGTGCACCGCTTTGTGCAAGCATGTATATATATATATATACATGTTTTACACGTGTTTGTGGTGTGGTTCAAGGGATCTCTTGGCTGGTGGGTTTGGGAGGGTTTGCAAAAATGATATATATATATATAGTGTGTATATATATAGTGTATATATATATATATACACCAGGCTGCCTTGGGGCACCACTTGCCGGACATTCACAAGAACCCTTTTGAGATCGAAGAGAGCACAAGTTCAGATGCTTTCACTGCGGAAAGAATGGTCAACGTTCTAAAGGACTCGCGATTCTTTAGAGACTTGGATGCTGCTGTCCTAGAAACCTTGCCACAGCACGCCAAATTCTTGAATGTGCCGAATGGCGGAGTCCTCTTTCGGCAAGGTGACCCGGCAAAAGGATGCTACATCATAGTGAGTGGCAAAGTGGGCTTCTACGCAGGTAGCACGAGCGGCACTCCACGCCAGCCAGCCACTGAGCCCAATGAACAGATTCCAGAAGCAGCCAGACGCATGAAGACGTTTGAAGGTGGGGCTGCTCTATGGGGGAGACTTTGGGGGCATTGTACTTTGCCTGCAAACCAAACACAAAATCTTGCTTTCATGGATGAGACTTTGCAGCCTTCTTGAATTGCAAACTTGCCCACCCACTTGTTGTAGTCACAGTGATCACCATGTTGTTCAGGTGCACCTGATACTGAATGCACCCGTAGACTCACTACCATTGTGTCAGCCGAATTGCCAGGCTTTAGCACCTTCTCGAAGGTCTCAGACTACGGCCAGTGCGTGAAAAAGAGCCATGGCAAAAGAGCCAGTCCGCCAGAAGACTTTCTTTCTCCAGGGATCATCCCCAAGGCACAATAGGTCAACGAATACATGACAATATCCCCCATTGTGCCTTTGGCAATGTCCAAGTTCAAAACAGGCTGAGTGATATGTACCAAACTTGCAATAGTTTGGTGATATGTACCAATGAACTTGTATCAACTTGCAATAGTTTGCGTGTTTTCTTTGTACCGGTCTTCCAAGGAGCGGCACAGGGGAAGTCTTCGGGGAGTTGGCGCTCATGGACGGCGGCTCTGCGCCTCGGAAGGCCACAGCGCGATGCCTCGACGAGTCTGAGCTCCTCTTCGTGTCAGGGGAAGGCTTCGAGGAAGTCAAGCGATATGCGACTCAGAAACAAAAAGTGGCTTCCAAACGGTCGCTTTGTTTACTGCAATGGATTTGGCAAATGATGCATGATGTCCATTGGAAATGTGTTGACTTTTCCAAGCTTCATTTGAGGTATATGTTGTGAGAGGCTAACATGCTCAGTCATTTTCTTGGATCTATGCAGGTATGAAAAGCTACCCATCCACAAGCTGTTTGTTGAGTGAGATTATGTATCCATTTAGATGATCCAGGTGTACTTGCAAAGTTGCATGTTGTATGTGTGACAACGTTGCGTTTGATATGCAGAATATGGTTACAGTGTTTTGCTCATGAGTGACTCTGCTCCACCCAAGTCTGTCTTTTTTGTTCCCCATCGTTGGTTTGCACACTCATATCCTTGCAACTGTAAGTTGGGGTTGATAAGGTTATGTCCAAATGCATATAAATATACTTTGTATTCTGATTTGTGCCCTTGCCTACAGCAGCTTTACTTGCGTTTCTTTCATGTTGCTAGATTGGCCCCTGTGCGCGGCCAGTACAAGCCCGGCATGTTATGTGAGTATGTGAGTATTGTATTACATCTTGCGGCCTTTCATTTTTTTCTTTCTGTTTCTTTCCCATTATGTGTGTCTTTGGACCTTTTGGTCTTTTCTTTCTTCACTGTTTGATGTCAAAAGAATGCGCAGCCAGTCTTTAAGACTTATTCCTTGGGCGGATAATATGGAGAATGGAACTACGTCGCACTTTCTCAGGCTGCATGGAGTTTCCTTGTAGAGGCTTTTCCGATGTGCACTTTTCCGCCACGTCCATATTCCATTTGCTTGCACAGAAATGCTTAGGTGAAAGAGCTTGAGCAGCAAAAGCGGGAATTTTTGGTCTCTTGCTTGCCTGGAATGAAGGAGGCCAAAAAGGCCGGGGGTCATAGCTCTGCAAATTGCTTTCACCAGGAGCGTCATGCTCAAGGAACATTGCTTTTGAAGCAAGGCACAGCGGAAGAACAAACCATTTATGTCATCGTAAGTGGCACAGTCGAGCTGGTGCGGACAAAGCGAGGAGATGCCAAAGACATTTTAGCCACCCTTGAAACTGGTGACATGTTTGGCAGTTTCGGCTCGTCCTTCAAGATGCCCTTCTCGGCGCGGGTAACGTCAAGAAACTGTGAAGTTCTTTCAGCCCGAGAACGTGACATCAAAATCTTGCCGGCAAAGGTTGTTGGGCAGATCATGGCACAACTCTCTGCAGATACAGCCGAGAGACTTCGCAGAAGCTGTGTCTTTCGCGGTATGGGTTGGCAAAAGCAACTGACCTTGAACCGCCGTTCCGACACCGATGCTGCTGCTGACCTGCTGGAGTTAAACTCACGAGATCTGAGGATGCATCTCTCTGCTCATTTGTGGCAGGCCAAGTAGGCATCATTTAGAGTGCGATACTTTGTGGTATCTTTCAACCTGAGCCATGTCTTTTCTCTGCAAGGGAAATTGATAATTTTTTGAACCAAAGCCTAGCAGACACGAGGTCACCAGGCCCACAAGCAGCAAGGCACTGTGTGCCAATCTTCGCAGAATCCACTTCCACGCTGCAAAGCAGCGATTGGGATTTAAGAACAGAGAGGCAGATAGCATCAGATGGCCCACAGGGCCAAAGAGGTGGAATTTTCATGGCACTTGTTGGATTCGAGGCTTTCAGTAGTTGTGATTCTATGATATTCTATAAGGATCAAAGTCAAAAGCACTTTCTCGGGCAAGTGGCCAGCCTCGAGCAATCCGGCGATGGTAATGACATTGCGAGCATTCCTCAAAGGATGCCATGGAATCGAGAGCAAAATGGGCCATCTACAGAGCCACAGAGTCCTTTTGCTGCTGAACTTAGATGAATGGGAAGGCAAGGCAAGGGAAGCGAAGGAAGGGTACACTGGAGTTGCTCTACGAATACCTACAAGTCTTCTAGTGGGCTTTCCTCGGGATGATTGCTTTAAACTTGAATAGGAACAAGAAGCTACTAGGGGCTCCTGGCCTTACTACTAGGCGCAAGGACGCTACTAGGGGCTCCTGGAATCGCTACTAGGAGCAAGGACGCAAATGTTGGCGAGTGCGACTGTCCGGCTTTGGCACAGGGATGCGCCCGTTGCTCCTGAAGTCTTCCTGGTGGTTCAAGGCACTGCAGACAAAGCGCTTGAAACTGAGACCTGGGACTGGACTTTGTCAAATCCAGGACTCACAGTGACTCACTGAAGCACAATGTTGGCAGCTCGCATGCTAGCAGAGATCTAGAATTGCAGTGGTGTTAAAGTGCTGAGAATAGGAGTGATAGTGAATCGTGGTTGCTTGGCCGAACTTCAGTGGTGATATGTAAGCAGACCATTGATTGGCCTCTGCCAGTTTACTTGTCACCTGCACCTTCCGGTTAGGAGTTGTGAACCACCCTGAGGCCATGGCTAGGCATTTCTGTGGTCGAGAAAGAGCCAGGCGAGTATTGAGCAGACCAGCTGACATGTGGAAAGCATGCTTGCCTATGTATGCTGCTGTCCTTTTGAGGTCTTCCTTCTGAGATCGCTGAGTATAATATGAGTGATAGACACGTGTATCCCCTTGGTCGAAGCATACCCCAGGCAGTGACGTTGTGCTTTTTCCGGTCCACGTCCACACCCTCCTTAACTGCAGGGGTGGGGTAGTGGCCCACCTGTTCGTCTAGTGTTACACCCGGATTGAACCCGTGTCTAACGCAAGAGGGATGCGTCGTAGCCTTGGATCAGGCAGCGATGGCACATCTGAAGGAGAGTCGCCATTGAGAAAGGCCTCCTTCATTTGCTGCAGCAAATAACCGTCTACTTGGCCCAGAGCGTCCTCACAAGTTGAAATGGTACCATTTCAAGGTTTGGGGGCAAGGGTGTTTGACCTTGCTTAACTCTATTTGAGGTCATTTCATAGCTTGTTTGGCCAAGCGGTAGTGCGCCCATTTCATGACATTAAACACCTGAGTATACCAAAGCTAGAAATCATCGGACTTTGGTCGCCGATGCAAGGCTTTGGCAATCCTGAACGAAGTCTTGATGGCCGGGACCTTAGCAGGAACAGAAGCTGCTGCTTCGAAAATTGAGGAACACCAAGCAGGACAAAAATACTACCAAAAGGCTACAATGTAAAGTGTTTTTAGATCATTGCACAAACTCAAGCAGAAGGACACTACGACAATGAGTTCATTGAAGATGAGAGTTCCCGAAGTGCCTAGCTCAGGACCAGGTGCAGGACTTGCTGTCAGATCTACATCGCGCGACCTATCGGGCCTTCATCCGTGTGGTGGCTGCGTGACCACCTTGGGTCCAAGATGACACTTCAGCACAACCAATGATCGCTGTTGGTGTGTGTGTGTGTGTTGGCCTCAACAGATATAACATACTCTAAAACTCTAAACATCTCTAAAGCGCACGCCGGCACCTCTTCCTATGTTTGAAGTAAGAACGCCAATAGCTCTCGCTATTTGGGGAAAGGACACCTCAGGGTTGATCAAAGGTCATGCAACGGATCCATCCTAATATTCTAGTATGCCTTTCCACTTTGTTCTCAGGTATGGGCGGTGGAAGAAGACTTGCAAAAGTGCCAGGGAGAAGCGACAGGCTTGCTGCATCTAATTGCAGTGATGCAATCTGGGACGTGTTGTGTTCTTGCAAGATCCAGGGTATAATGTGGCTCAGGCTGAGGAGCATGCAAAGAAGCTGGCGGAGAGAAAGGCTGGCATGTCAAGAAACAAGTTTTTCTGGCTCAAGCCACTCAATGCCCGCCTGTAGCATACAGAACTCATCCAGCATAGGACCCCACTTAGAGCATGATTGGTGTTGCTGCAGATGCGGTCTTCGCGCAACAGTGTCATGGGTGAGGAGTGGGCACCCAGAGGCAAGAACCAAGGAAGTGGGACCAGAAAGGTCACCGGAAGAACGAGCACTAGCAGTTCGAGTTTGTAAATACACCAGAACCAGACAAAGCCGATGTGTTTAAAAAAGATAAAATTGGACCGAAAACGGATTATATAGGGACAGTTAATCAGGGCAGTAGCTGTAGCTGATGTGCTCATTGATTAGGCCAGTGATTCTTGTTGCAGCTAAGGAAGTCGGCCAAAGCCACGAACTTGGCCAGAAATTCTGGGGCGGTGGGAAAAAGGCTTTGCATTGAACAAGGGATTTGGGAACCGTTAAAGATGCGGAAATTTCACTCAAATCATAGCGGCGGGGTGTTGAAAGGGTCCTTAGTTTGTCTGTTGAGAGGTAAACGGCGGACTTGCTTGTTTGGTTCTCATGGGCACCCTCCGCAACCTATAATTTTAAGTTTGCAGTGGCACTTTCTCAGGTCTTTTGTTTGCTTTACATCCTTTCCTTGCGCGGTGTGAATTGAGAGTTTGCCACTTTACTCAAGATGTATCCATCAATCCTTGGCAAACCTATTTTGAGGTGCTGCTTCAACCCAAGGGCACTGCCGTCAGTACTCGCTGATGTTCTCATGGGAATTGACATGACTGTTGCTTTCTAATGCTAGAAAACTTTGGAGAGAACCTGCTTTGCCTGGCCTTGCGGGGTTGCTTCAGCTCAAACAAGAACTTGCATGCACATCGTTTAAACAACTCAGGCGGGAAGGCCATGACAATGCGGAGCCAACCGAGCCGGTTTCCAAGTATCTTGAAGAGACCAGAATGTGCGTCGTGGTGCACTTCCTAGTAGCTTCTTGTTACTACTAGTAAGGCACTTGTTACTAGAAGCGATGCACTTGTTCCTAGTAGCTTCTTGTTACTACTAGT